CTTGAAAGATTTCAATTTTTATTCCATCAATTCCTGGTGCCTTGTTCTTTGCCAATTCTTTCAATGCACTTTGGACTTCCTCCCTGAGTATCACTGGCTCTTGTTCATATGGAACCTCTTGAAATGGTTGAACATTAACCATTTCCTTTTCATACAATGATAACAATATAAAATCTATTAATAAGATATTCCCTATACATTTTTTTAAATTGTTTTCAAAATCTTCGAGTTGCTGTTAAGTGCAGATACTATGAAATCAAAGCACAGATTAAGTATGTCTGATGAATGAGGATCTGAATTGAGATGTGCTTCTGTGATAAAACAACATACTAGATCTCAAAATCCCACATTCAGATACTAAGTTTTATAGCAGCTGCAATTGAAAAAGTAGTTTCACACTGCCATGCTGTTCCAAATATATGAAAAGCTTCAAGTTTTGGAAACATTTCATTATATTTTAATTTCATTTTTCCACAAACATCTAAAGCCCCTCATATTTGAAAGTTTTCCAATTTTAATGAAATAAAATACAACATTCAGTTCTTCATTCATATCAGCACTATTTTAAGTGCTGCATGCCCCATGCAACTCCTGACTGCTATATGAGAAAACTCAGTGGCTGAAGGACAATGCTCACAATATGGACAACTTGGCTTTCCGATGCCTAAATTAAGATGAAGGTCCATAGAAACAGATTACACAAAATCTGAAGTTAAAAAAGTAACACCATTTACATGTAAGGATGGTGAATGTTGAACATAACTGGATAAAAATAGAAAACAAAAATTAAAAAAAAAAAAAAAAAGGGCTTCAGAAATCCCACAATATAATAAAACACAAGGATACAGCTTTATACATTGTATTTTTATTCTACCATTTAAAAGTGAATGTAAATTGTTAACAGGATTTTCTTCAAGGTGAAGTAAGAGTTTGAGATTCTCACAAGTCACAAACTTTTTACATTACAAGGATGGTGATCTAAGATGTTAAAACTTAAGATTTTAGCATTGTGTGAGCATGAAAATCAATGAAGTAATTACATGCCATACTAGAAATACTGCTTGCAAAAATGAAAATGTTAAGAGCCACCTTAAAAGAAATAGGATCATACCTGGATACTGTCGGATGGTAGACACTGAACTGGTGATGGGGGTGTACGTGTGTGCAGCCAGAGGATACGCAGATGGCGGATAGGTTGGCAAAAAGTATTGGAACTGAACAGGAACAGATGGTCTATAGATGGAACATGGGTGATAATAAGACAAATGGTCTATTTTCTTCTTTATCTTCAAATGATACTACAACCCAGACCTTCATATCATCTTAACTACCATACTTCTTGGTGTTGAGTAGACTGTGACTCACAGCAGCCAGCCCTGCAAGGGGTTTCCAAGGAGTGGCTGGTGGATTTGAATCACTGACCTTGCAGTCAGTAATCCAGTGCTTATTTACAGTGCCACACCAGGACTCCAACTACCATACTAGCATTTACCAATTTGCATCTCAAATAAATATCAGATCAAAGGAGATAAACCTGAGAAAGTGAAAAATTTTTAAGTAAGTGGATACTATAAATAATCATAAGAATACATTTTAAAACAAATAATTTCAGTGGATGATCTAATAGAATAATGATCACAATGACTTAAAAACTCAGAAATCAAGTCTTCTACTCAACCTACTTGAATAACACTAAGCTCAAATTATTTTTGCTTAGAAATTTTAACAAACATATAAAAAAGATAACCATAGTTTTATAGGAACTGTTTCAGAGAGCTGAAAAAATGATCCCGCTTATTTTTATTCTAATACAGTCTTAGTATCAAATTGGTCATGCAAAAAAGACTATAAACAAATCTTACTTTTCTGTATTGATACAAAATTACAAGATAAAATGGAATTGAGTATCACATAAAAGTTAATCTTACATAAGATTAAATCATGATCATATAAGTCTTACACTAGAATAGATCAACATCATATTTTCTATTAATGCTTTATAGAAATATTTATTCCTCAAGCTGAAAATGATATCTACCAAAATCTATAATGAGATTTCAGAATTGCCATTCAGGACAAGAATAAAACAGACAAAGTAGCTCACCATTTCTAACTCTATTCTACTTCACATTGGAAGCTCTAACATTGTAAATTAAATGCAGATTCTTCTTTACCATCAAAATTTGTCCTATTTGTAGGTGAAACCAACATTTACATAAGAAATTGAACAGAATCTACAAACTTTTAGAGCTTTTAAGAGTGTTCATTCAGTAAGGTAAGTCTTAAATAATGAGGACACAGCAAATCCCACAGAACTAACCTGAAGGGACTTCCAAAGATCCAATGGAGAAAAACTGAGCATCAAAATAAGTTACAGATGTTGTTAAGTGCTGATGAGTGCATTCTGACTCATTGCAACCTATATAGGATTTCCAAGGAGTGGCAGGTGAACTTGAACCGCACCAACCTTGTGGTTCAAACTGCCCTTGCAGTGTAGAGCATTGACCCACAGTGCCACATGCAGTAGTAGATTATAATAGTGAATAAAACCAAGTGTCTGAGCCCATGTTGATTTTGAAAAATAAACAACTACATAAAAAAATAGGAGGTAGATAAGATTACCAACTAAAAACACGTGGAAGAAACAACAGAAATAAAAACACCACTATTAGCAACTATCAGATTAATAATTGATTTAGCTAAGAATCATCAATGGATGCTAAAACTACCAAAAGTTTATTGGTGAACAAGATATTTATACTTTCCAAGTATCTCCACAGAGATTACTTACATGAGGGTGCTTCTACAGCACCCTTGTATAAAAAGAGAAAAATTTACCATTATAGAAAAAAAATCACACTTCAGCTACATAATCAATGTTAACTAACAATGGGAAAAAAAAGCATAAATTCTCTGAAACAGTAACAGCAATAACAATAACACAAGGAACATTTCCTTCAAAATTGTAACCTGAATGTAACCATGAGAAAACTACTTGACAAACCCAAATTGATAAATATTCTATAAAACAACTGATCTATACTTATTAAAAGTATCAATTTATTAAAGATAAGGAAAAGCTAAAAAATAGTTTCACTTAGCTGTACTGTGGTTAAGCAAGAGAATGTTTTTATTCTTAGGAGATACACAGAGAAGTACTTAGGGATAAAGATCTGCGATGCTGGAACCGTCAAATGATTTTTTAAGAAAAAAAATCACACACACAAAAATGGATACTAGAACATCCACCAAAAACAATGGCTAAACATAACAGATAAAGATGGACATTATATCATGATTAAAGGGACAATTGAACAAGACGAAATAACCATATTAAATATCTATGCTCCCAATGAAAGAGCACCAAAATATATAAAACAAACTCTAACAGACTTGAAGAAAGAAATAGATGAATCCACAATAATAGTGGGTGATTTTAATACACCACTCTCAAAAATGGATAGAACAACTAGAAAGGAGCTTGGCAAAGATACAGAAAAACTAAACAACACAATCAGCCAACTGGACCTCACAGATGCGTACAGAGCATTCAACCCAACAACTGCAAAATACACATTCTTTTCAAGCGCACATGAACATTCTCTAGAATATACCATGTTTTAGGACACACAACAAATCTCCATAAATTTACAAATATCAAAATACTACAAAGGATCTTCTCAGATCACAATGCTATCAAACTAGAAATCAACAATAGGAAGACCAAAGAAATTAAGTCAAACACATGGAAGCTGAATAACACCCTGCTGAAAAGCGACTGGGTAGTAGAAGAAATTAAACGTGATTTCGCAAAGTTTCTAGAAGTAAATGAGAATGAAAACACAACATACCAAAATCTTTGGGACACAGCGAAAGCAGTGCTGAAGAGGGCAATTTATTGCAATAAACGCATACATCCAAAAAGAAGAAAGAACTAAAACTAACACATTAACACAGCATTTACAACAATTAGAGACAGACCAACAGAGGGAACCCACAGCCACCAAAATAAAAGAAATAATAAAGATTAGAGCAGAAATAAATGAGATACAAAACAGAAAAACTATAGAAACAATCAACAAGATAAGAAGCCGGTTCTTTGAAAGAGTTAACAAAATCGACAGACCATTGGCAAACCTAACAAAAGAAAAGAGGGAGAAGACACAAATAATACGCATTAAAAATCATATGGGTGATGTCACAATGGAACCAAAGGAAATCAAAAGGATAATAACTGAATACTATGAAGAGTTGTACTCCAACAAATTTGAGTACTTAGAAGAGATGGATACATTTTTAGAAAAACATGACCTACCTAAACTTACACACAGTGAAGTAGAAAACCTGAACAGACCCATAACAAAAGAAGAGATTGATCACGTCATCAAAAGACTTCCAACCAAAAAAAGTCCAGGCCCAGATGGCTTCACAGGTGAATTCTACCAAACATTCAGGAGAGCTGTCACCAATACTACTCAAATTATTCCAGAATATAGAAGAGGATGGAAAACTCCCTAACGTATTCTATGAAGCAAGTATAACCCTCATACCAAAACCAGGGAAGGACGTCACTAAGAAGGAAAACTATAGACCAATATCCCTCATGAACATAGATGCAAAAATTCTCAACAAAATCCTAGCCAACAGAATTCAGCAACAAATGAGAAAGATAAT